GCAGCTCAACCGGCTCTCTAACCATAAGCCAAACACTTAGAGCGGTTTTGCTTCTCAATTCTGTTCCACACAGTCTGTTGCAAACGTTTGCAAACCAGGCATAAGCAAAGACATTGAATTCTTCAATCGAGTGGCCAATTCCCACTATCCTCAAGTTCCCATCATCCAACTAATTCCGCAGAATTTCAGATTCGCTTTCTGAATGTATGCTTTGCAAATATGAATAAACCTCAACTTAACATTTCTCTGTTTGTGCGCCAACCCATTTTCCATACATACACTCAGCCGAATTTACGGACCTTTCATTTATGGCCTTTGAACCGACGTATAGCGAGTTTATGAACAAATATCGAAGTCAATTCATGAAGTTTGCAAAGGTGCACGATCAGAAGCGCGAGAACAAATATTGACTGCAACGGTGGAACTGCGTTCATTTTCACTTTGCAAATTGCAGCGGAACGCCAAGAAAATTTCCTTCCTTTGCCGTCACAAGTGCACATATAAGCGTCAACTATTTAAAGTCTTTCAAAGGAATCATCCAGCGACGATAACGCGGAACTTTCGACGCCGTAAAGTATGTGCAAGTTTCAAGAGGACGCAAGTCGTCAAAGAGAAAATACGCCCGTTGAAGCTGAGTTTTTCGCAGCTTTCAGACTTACCCGCACCAGATCTGTTAATAAACTGAGCCGAAACGACCAGTCTAGCTTGATGTCGTCCTGCTGAAGAACGTCCTGCAGGGAACCACGCGAACAGTACTCGGACACCAGGGCAGCTCTAGGTGGCTCTGCCAACACACCTAAAGAAATATTACTGGAATACAAAGCGATTTATCCRCAAAAGTACTTGCAACCTCACTCACTGTGTATGTTTAACATGRAATTGCAAGAAACAGACAGAAATAATCCTAAGAAAAACAACTTTTTATATGGAAAACAATCAACTKTTGCCTAAGGCTTGTTGCCAATTTCATGTGAAGTCTCGTCAGCCTTAGAACGTCCAATTGGAAATAAAACACCCGGTATAGAAGACGCTCTGGTAACACACTCAAMYTTGATTCATTCTGTACACAAAATGTATTAATCCTTTGCAATATCGACTGGTCCTACGCAAAAATGTTCTTACCTATTAAAGGATTGAGGTTTTCATGCCTCAACCCATGCAGATGCACTAGAAGTTCCGTCGCTTTGGCTTTCAGCTCGGCATTTCCATTTGAAGGCACTGGTTTCATCTGGACCAAGTCGCCCTAAAATCAACAGCAAATGCGAAAATAACGAAATTTGCCTTGCCCTAGACATTGACCCACATTTCCCGCATAGAATCCACAAAATTTCCCACTATGGCCTGAACATCCAGCTAATTTTAGAGCTGATATTGGCATATTTTCAGAATTTTCGCTCAAACAGGCAATTAGCTGATCCAAAATTAGAGGTTGCCTCTATCGGGTGCTGGGCCGAAGCAGAACCGTGGAACTGATACGCATTAAATCAACGTCAAAGAAGAATTTTTATTAAATTTACCACGTGCTTTAATCTGCTTAGCGTCGTCGATAAATGTTTGCTGGAAAATGTCCATAAACTGCGTCGCGGAATGTGCCACGTTGGAGGAATATTAAGCTGGAAAGTTGACAAATTTCTTTAGCAAACTCCACGGCCAACAAATCGTCCTGAACAAGCTTAAAAAGTGTGTTTGCTCATAAATGTAAAGCGTTTGCAAACGAAGGAAATTGTTTAGAAAGGGGCATCATTTTCAGCAAATGTCTAAATAAGTTCCTGAACTATTCAAAGTAAAGATGTTGAGAGCGAAGAAATAAATACTTTAAGATCAATCGCTATGGAAAAAGCAGTGATTTTCACTGCAGGCAAAGTCAAAAGTGAAGATACTTTTATAAGCGTCAATAGAAGGGAAAATTGCAAACCCGTTCCAGGTGGTAAAGGAAATGACTAGAAGAAAGCATGCAATTGAAAACTGATCAGATGGAGAGCAGAGAACCATAAATATTGCTGAGAAAACAACAGAAGGAAAGCAGAACAGAAACACTTTAACAAGCAGGCTCAGATAAAATCTGTCCTTCGAACAATTGTTGCCATATCAAAAAAAGCAAGAGCAAAAGAGTTGTGCACAACCTTCAGAAGACCTGAAAAAACTTACATTATATCGAACACGAGGATCCACAATGACTTGTTTGGCCAAATTGGGACTGGAGCCGGTTCTGAGCGGTGTGCGAGCGGACGCTCCTCCGGAATTCTGCAGCAGATCCGGTTTGTCCACTTCCGGACCGCCAAACTCCTGCAGCTGCTGCAACCAGCAGCACAGTATGGCCTCCATGCCTTCATCTACCTGGAAATTTACAGAAAACTCGGTAAACATGGACTTTTTTGTTGGTCCTTCGAGCGGGATCTTGCAAGCCACCGGCTTTTGCGTGAATAAAACATTGAATTAAGCTTGGAGCTGTAAAAATCGAATTTCGAAGTTCACTTTTCGGAGAATTGACTACGTAAACGCTAAAACCTAATTTACGACGTGCCCCTTGGAGTTTATGGGTCATAAACATGACAAGATATCGTGGGATTTTTAGGAAGTGAGATGGAAATTGCGCCAAACAATTTCCTTTCGCGTGCTGTAAAGTAAAGCAAGTAGCGATGTGAATTTTTTAACAATCTTGAGCAAGCATTCGCTTTAAAGATGGCAAAGGTTTCAAAAAAGTAAACATTAAGGCTGATTTTTCATAGCGTGGCAAATGCGGGTTCAAAATTGGAGAAATGTGTATTCATAAAACGACCAACTATGGCCTCTTCTTTAAAAGTTCACATTTTCCACACTAGCTCGAGCACCCAATTGAAAAAGTTGCGATCTTTAGAAAACATTGGGCTTCCGAAGTGCTAAAAGGTTGGAAAAATCAGCAAGAAGACTGATTTTTCAGATGTTCCAAATCTAAAGATGCTGAAAGTTTCAAAAAAATCGCCATCCAAGCTGAGTTTCAGTCTTGCTCAATTCGCATGTAAGAACTTTATTATATTTATGTAAATGTTAAAATAAAGCATCGTTCGCTTTTAATAACATGGTGAAGACCACGCGATAAGGCGCTAATTAAGTAATAAAATTCGGATTCATTTCTCTCTTCCTAGATTGGCTATCGATTTTTCGCCCATTATTTTTAATAGCTCGAATTTTTCTTGCAGCCCTTACGATCATTACGGGTGGCGTAACCTTATATTAATCACAGAGCTTTCCACTCAGGAGTCGAATTACCAGAATAGACGCTGATAAAACTATGGAATTTTTAGCGCTAATGGCCCAGATTACTGTTCCCATGTGGTTCTTTGGCGCTGCCAATCAGCTTTGAAAATTTCAAGTTTGAAAAGTGAATGTTAACTTTCCCCACAACCAATCAGCTAGTTCAATTAATACTTTGCCTCTGAACGGTATGAAGCTGATCCCAAGGAAAATTGGCTGGAGATTTGCTCGTTTTTGCTCAACATTCGGATCACGACTTTCACGAAGGGTGGAGTGTCTTATATGAGCTTACGGTTTAACCCAGATTGACGAGGAGCGCATCGTGACAAATACTCTTCCTCCAACAGCTGTCGTTTTATTGTTTTAATTCGCTCCTATCTCCAACGAGGTCCATTAATCTGGGCTTTGGCTCGATGTGGGAAACATGCCCGCTCTTCCACAGTTTTATCGCAGAAACTCGAACAAATCACTGCTCCAAATGTTTTGGGGGTTTTTGAGTGATTACTGTTTGCAACAGTTCCTGCTCGAATCACTTCTTCTGCAATAGCTGCAACCAATATGGCACAGCAGCAGAAAAAAATATTTTTGAGTTTAAAGCCGGAAAGTCTGGTGGTGTTATTTTTCTGTAACAGCGTTACAACGTTCCAGTTCCACGTTGGTAGTAGGTTTCAAAACCGGTTCCCAAAAGAACATGTTACTTTTAAAAATTTTCATTAAACATGCGCAATGATGATGATGATGGTAGAAATAGTAATGTCAAATAATGATTTAGTTTATTAAAAGAATAATTGTTAATTAAATTAAAACGTTTAAATCGGCAAACGGCTGTAGCTAGTGCGAAGTGCGCACAACTGTCTAGGTTTTATGAGACGGTTCCAAAAAGAACGGTTTAAGTCGGCAAACGGCTGCAGCTGGTTCGAAGTGCGCTCAACTGTTCCGGTTTTATGAGACGGTTCCAAAAAGAACGGTTTAAATTGGCAAACGGGTGCAACAATGGATGCTCGACGGTGTCGCATCGGTTCTGTGCTGTTGCAAAAACAAAAAAAAAAGGCTTTTTCGGGTTTATGAGACGGTTCCAAAAGCAACCGGTTAAATCTGCTAGCTGTAACTACGGTTTCAGGTTACATGTTTGTAACAATGTTATTTTAGCGGTTACGTTAAATACCGACCATCCCTAGTTCCAAAAGCAACCGGTTAAATCTGCTAGCTGTAACTACGGTTTCAGGTTACACGTTTGTAACAATGTTATTTTAGCGGTTACGTTAAATACTGACCACGCCTAGTGGCTTCCAGCATGTTTGTTGTCTGTTTTTTAAAAAATTCCTCAATCAACGCGGTGATTAGCCAGAGGGCCTGTTGGAGCAGGGTTGCACAGACGAAATGTTGGCAATTTCTTATGTTCAAGTAGAATTGAACTTTTCAATACTGTACTTAGCCATTGTATTAAATCCTGTAAGTGTATGGGTTTTCCACCAGTTCCATTTTGGTCCAACTGAAAAAAAGCCAGGTGCTCTATCTAATCGAAAAAATGCCGATCAGCTAAAGGCCAAACCATAGACAAACACACTTTCCACTCAGTTAAGTGCATTGGCTGCTGTATCTTCCGCTATTGACTAGTATATACATAGAAATCAATCTTTCCCTGGAAGTTTTCCCCAATATTAATCGCTCAACGGCACGATTTCCAGTCGCTCTAAACACCAGAAAAATTAATAATCCATTTCAACATCAAGATTTACGAGTAGCTTTGTCGAACGGCCCCTTAAACCGTTGAGGCTTTAATAGATATTGCCCGAATTTACTTTTATGGGGGTTTTACTATTGAAAAATGCACAAAAAGGCCCCATGGGCGCTGATGGCAATCGAGGGTGTTTTACGCTCTAAAAGTAACGTTCTCCTGAAAAAAACTGTTACTTACTCGTAGACTTTCCGTGAGTTGAGGAAATGTGAAATCGGCAGCCGCCAAGCGAACTTTGTAGGGCGCTTTTGCGGTCTTTTTCTTGAGCAAATGGTAGCGGACAGCAGCGACAACGCCCAGGGTGCAAAAGACCAGGAAAACTGCACAGGAAATCACCCAGTAGACCCAAGCCCTGAAAATTAAGTTGAGTCTGAGCACCAGAAGACGCTTCAAGTCTTGCAGAGCAGCGATTCTCTTTCCGCAGCCTAAAATAATTCGGCGATGGAAAAAATGTCTACAGTTTACGAGCCCACAGAGGACAGTGTAGACTCGCATTTAACCAAAATTCATAAAGTTTAGACTGAGAAATCCATCGATTTTTAATCAACCAACTGCTCCCCCCTAGCGATGTTAATAAACCAGAACCATGCCGCGAAATTGGCTTAAATTAATAACAGCCGAAACTCCCAGGTAGCAAATTTGTATATTAATTCGCCGACGTTATTGTAAATTTAATATCCAGCCTGGATCCATCCGGGCCTTGCCGGAAGAAGGAAACTCACCTGAGCAAGTTGCTCGATGACAATTTACAGAAGGCATCGCATTCTTCCAACTGCTTATGTGTGATCCACCATTGGGCAAAGTCCTGCGGCGACGTTTCGGTCTCCCATGCACTTTCGTTGGATTGGAAAACCTTCATCAGGGGCCTCAATGTCCCGTCCGGCAACACATCAACTAGCGCAAAGCACCACGTTCGCGATTGTTCCGAATCGAAAGTTTCGCGGACGGTTTTCAGCACTTTTTCCTCGGTGTTGAGGTTGAGGGTGGCGTTGTCCAGAAACAGGAGAATGTCCTGAGCCATTAGATCTGTAAGGTTGTCCGGAATGTCCGAGCTGTTGATCGAGGCGACGAGACGATCGGTCCAGGCGGGCAGGCTGAGGACGTCCAGGAAAATGGACAGCGTGTTGTGTTGGGCCAGTTGAAGGCGCCTGGTGACGTGGAAGATGTTCAGGCCCAGCTCGTCGGCAGGCATGCAGAATACCAGAGCTGAAAACCCCCGAAAACGTTTTTTAGTCGATGATTTTTTCGTCAAAGTTCGAACTTTGCCGGGTCGTCCACCTACCTCTACAGGGTCGATCCTTGAAGTCCTGAAGTTTTTGCTCGATGTACCTTAGGGGAGTGTTCTTGTCGAACAGCAACGAATGCTTGGGAACAATCCCCAAGTCTCTCAGCTTCAATTCCAGGCTGTGAGAAAGCGACGGCCACCATCCGGACGCTGGTCCAAAGAAACATGATTAGAACCGGAGCAAAACGTTCGCGAACATTCGCGAACATTCGCGAACATTGAAATTGCATGTGGATTAGTGTAGCGGCTAAGGGAATGGCATCAATAAAGCTGACAGAAACTGTAACAAACCACTTCAACAGTTTATTCCAGTCGACATCCGGTTGTTTTATCGCAGCAGCTGCAGCACGCGGCTACAGTTTCAATTCCAAGCGGGATTTATTGGGCTCCAGAATTGCCCTTTGAGCCGTTTATATCCTGCAGAGGTTGTGCAGGCGCCGCTCAACTTTAAATTATTGTCGAGAACAAGCGCGCAATTTATTTATTTCGCCTAAATGTTTCCCGTTGTTTTTTCCGTGTGCAATTAAGTCCAGAGGCAAAATTTAAAATTTCGGTTCCGTTACGGTTCCGGTTTAGAAAATAATTTCTAATTCGGTTCCGTTTCGGTTCCGGTTCCAAAATCTTTATATAACAACGAACGAGGACAAAGATACTCTAATTAGGAATCTCAGCATCTTTTTCTTTGCTTGTTGTATTATACCAGATAAAAAATGCGCAAACTATCCACTGCTTCATGCGGTACTTCGGCTGGTCGTATGGTAGGGGGTAGGAGTGTAGGAGGACTAGCAGCCCCACACAAGGGTTAAAATTCATATAAAAATGATATTATAAAAAATACAAAATCTAATTTAATTGTTGGATTTTTGTGATTTGTCAATAAATTTTCTGACTTTAGCGCTTTTCTCATCTTTCCGTTTTCACTCAGGTCCACAACTTCGTCAATTCCTCTTCTTTCACTCTTATTTCCGTTTAAACATTTCAATTTCAAATGTTTCTTTGTTGGTGATCGAAAAACTAAAATAATGCAACTTTAAAAAAATAGTGTATACACGTATGGTGCTCGTTCTTTTCGATTGAAAAGTCGGTTGGTCCTCACAAATAATTGTTCCTCTAAAATTCAAACGTTACAAGCAGAACCGAAAAAACCGAAATAAAACATTTCGGTTTATGGGTTCCGTTACGGTTCCGGTCCAAAAAAAAACCGGTTCCGTTCCGGTTTTGGGTCCATATCGGTTCCGGTCCGGGTCCCTGCTGTTAATTACAAAAAACTGTGTCAAGCGCCAATTTGGAAATGTTTGTATTTTTTACGCAAAATGCAAAAATTCTGAATTAATGCGTGCCTTAAAACCCGCTCTTAACTTTTGGCCCCCTTTTAGAGAACCGTTTGAGCGGCAAAGCCTTAGTTATCTTTGCGGAATAGAGCGTTGAATTGCGTACTTTTTTGTACATTTAAACGCTAAACGTTATTGCGATCATGCGTAGTGTTAAAAAATAAGGGGTTCAGGCAAATAGCGTTAAGTGCGTTTTTTAGTTTTTGATACCGCGTTTGTTGTTAATAGTTAGGTTATGGGTTAGAAGTTAGAACCTGTGCCTGCCCTGTTAGTAGTGTTGCCAAAGTTCAAATTTGCCCAAACAATTTTCACATGAAATCCCCAATTACGCAATAATGGCGTAAACTAATCAATGAAAAAGTCTTATTTAAATTTACAAAGATTTCCTATTCTATTATAGCCGCTTATTTTATTAATAATATTAGAAATAAGTCAAATATGTCAACACCGTCGTTCTGCTTTTTAACGTGAAGCGTACGTAAATAACACGTTATCCTCGAATAACGTAAGCGGTTATTTCTTTACTAATGCGCGTGCTCAGAGCAAAAACTCCCTATTGTCCGTAGGCGGCTCCTAATTCCTTTCATCCTTCCGATCTGTGACTTCATGTCCGCCCTYTTCTCCTTAGTAGATTTAAACCTGAACATAATTGATCATTTTATGACACACCATTCATATTTCGCACGAATTTCCGCATTTACATGAAGACATTTGGCGGTTTTCGGTTATAATCTGGGATGCAACTCCCATTTAAAATACACGGCATATGCCATGTCATAAATCGATGCGAAACGTGCATCTTGCAGTGGAAAAGTGCACGAAGTGGAGCACGAAGCCCTGAGAGCGGATTCACTCTAATAACAAGGCTAAGGTGGCAAACCACATGTTTTATCCATTCGATTTTATATGATCAACACAGAAGAAACAGCGTGAGGAAATTAGCTTTTTATTCGAATGAATCAAAAAGTGCCATTTTGCGAACAGAAGCGATGATCAAAAAGAAGCACTTTTCTTTAGCGTTCATTTGTTTTACTTT